AGAGAGAGAGAGAGAGAGAGAGAAACATCGACTACCTGCCTCCTATATGCCTCCTACTGGGGATTGAGCCAGCAACCTGGGCATGTGACCTGACTAGAATTGAACCGGTGACCTTCTGGTGCATGGGATGATGCTCAAACAACTGAACCACACCGGCCAGTTTTTATACTTAAAAAATGTTTCCTATTTATTACATCTAAAGACTTTATTACTAGGTAATACAGTTTATTTTTAGATACTTTTGAAGTTAAAGACAATAGTAATTAATATTGAACATATAAGGAACTATAAAGCAGCCAGTGGAATCCTAAATGCAATCTCATTCCTTTTTGGAGAGAGAATTATTGATCGACTGCCTCCTGCATGCCCCTCACTGGCGATGAGCCCGAAACCCGGGCATGTGCCTTGACCGAGAATCGAACCATGACCTCCTGGTTCATAGGTCAATGCTCAACCACTGAGCGACACCAGCCGAGCGAAGAGGCATTTTTTGAGGAATTCTTTTAAAAGCTTCACTTTAACGTCAGGCATGCCTGGAGAATGTGTGTTGATCAAAGGACTATGTAACATTCAACACAGGTTTATTTAGCTTCCTGTGATTTTAGCTATACCTAGATTCATTTGTTGTGAATTTGAAGAAAATATTTTTCTCTATTTTTTTAAAAGGAAAAATAGTCACATGTTTTAACAAATATATTTTAATGTGTAATATCTTTTTTAGGAGTTATTTTCTTTATGGTAATTTCAGGTAAGACTTTAGACTCCTATAAACCTTTTTTCAGACACAGCTTGATGGGATTTCTGTTGAGTAACAGCAGTTGCCCTTCATCTCCCATGCCATCTCAAATTTAATTTAAACTTGAAGTTGTCTCTCTGAGTAATGCAAACACAGCAATGTTCCTCCCGTTTTGGGAGCAGCAACACTGAATAGTCTATTTTGAGTACTTTTGCTATCAAAAAAGCATTCATGAAATTTAACATTATTTTAAAGCATTTCTGTTACCTCCAGAGTGACAACACCCGCCTTAGTCAGCGTTTCAGTATCACAGCACAGCTTTTGGTGCTTTACTACATACTGTCTTATGAGGAAGCTCTCCTAGCAAACACAAAGACTTTAGGTAAGTTGTGCATGGGGGAGTGTTTCTAGTGATAGTTCATTTTATTTGCTTATATTTTGTTAATTCTCAAGCTGTTATATGAGAAAGTCAGGTCAACTATTCTAACAAGCTTCAGCATCATTCTATAGCAGCGGTTCTCAACCTGTGGGTCGCGACCCCTTTGGCGGTCGAACAACCCTTTCACAGGGGTCGCCTAAGACCATCCTGCATATCAGATATTTACATTACGATTCATAACAGTAGCAACATTACAGTTATGAAGTAGCAACGAAAATAATTTTATGGTTGGATCACAACATGAGGAACTGTATTTAAAGGGCCAGAAGGTTGAGAACCACTATTCTATAGTCTTTGCAGTGTAGGCATTGTATGTACTCTGATGCATGAATACATGTCTGTTACCCCTTCAGGCTCAGTCCTTAGGCTAATTTAATAGATAACTGAATTGCCTGTATTTTAATAATTTTAATGACCTTATTAACTAAATGTAAATATAGAGAGAATCCTTGGAGTGATTCCTTGAGAGGTGACGGAGATGGGATATAGAAGACAAATGGAGGGGTTGGCCTTTCCTTGGAGAATTTTTTCCCTTGATGTAGATTTTTTTTTTCTAGTTCTAGTTTCTTATCTCCAAGGGGAATAAATAACTGCAGAATATGTCACAGCATGGGAAAATTTTGCTCTTGAATAGCCAAAAAGATAATTACCTGCCTCAAATTTATTCCTGTCTGTGAAGTTGTATTGTAGTTTCAGTACCTTGTTAACTGTTCTGTTTTGGCCCTAATAATAAACATTAACAGCCACCAGGTAGCTATAGAAAGCTCAAATATGGAATTCTTGAAATTTGAGATTGAATGAAGTATTAGGATATCACAGTCTTTTAAAAAAAGTGTGTATGTGTGTATATGTATATATTTTTTCACATACACATATATTTTTGGTTTTAAAAATATATAATACATGTGTGTAGTTTTAGTTAAATATTGTATTAATCCAAAAGAATATGTGTAAGAAATAAAGAGTAATATAATAAATCTCTGTGTATTATTACCCAGTTAATATATGAGCATTACCATTATATTTCCAGTTTTTTTGGTCTTAAATATGTTTTTATTGATTTTAGAGAAATTGGAAAGGAGAGGGAGGGAGGGAAGAAGAGAGAGAGAGAGAGAGAGAGAAACATCGACTACCTGCCTCCTATATGCCTCCTACTGGGGATTGAGCCAGCAACCTGGGCATGTGACCTGACTAGAATTGAACCGGTGACCTTCTGGTGCATGGGATGATGCTCAAACAACTGAACCACACCGGCCAGTTTTTATACTTAAAAAATGTTTCCTATTTATTACATCTAAAGACTTTATTACTAGGTAATACAGTTTATTTTTAGATACTTTTGAAGTTAAAGACAATAGTAATTAATATTGAACATATAAGGAACTATAAAGCAGCCAGTGGAATCCTAAATGCAATCTCATTCCTTTTTGTTTTTAATCCTCATCCGAGGACATGTTTTTATTGATTTTTAGAGCAAAAGGGAGGAGAGAAAGAGGGAGTTGTGAGAGAAGGAAGTGAAACTTATAGTGCCCAACTTCCTTTAAAAAGCATCAGTCACCACAGTTATACATGATTAGATTAAGACTGCTGGAATCATGAGTCTTTAAGCCATGTGGTCATGACTGTATTTGGTCCTCCTAATTAGATTTGGGAGTCTAGACTTACCACTTTTTTTTTTAGTGTAAGACATTTCTGCATATGGCTTCTGTCACTCATGATTTTCCTCCCACTAGTTTCAATTTTGGGACATTTTCCAGATCTTGCCCTTGGTATGTTCTTGCTCTCTGTGTATTTACTATTTGGTAGCAATCCTTCATCTTTTATGAGTTGTATTCTCAGATTAAGTGAATTAAAAGTAATTTAACATTGTGTTCCCATTTGGGTTGAAGGTTAAGATTTCTGTTGTTTCTGACACTATTTTTCTTATGCTTTTTACCTTTGACTGACAGCTGCCATGCAAAGAAAGCCAAAATCATATTCGGCCTCTTTAATGGATCAGATTCCTATCAAATTCCTTATTCGACAGGCTCAAGGGCTGCAGCAGGAGTTGGGAGGTATTTGTTTTACTTGCTTTTTACTGCTAACATTCACTGTTAAACAATTTCTTCTGTTTATGATATAAATTTAATAGACGCTCAATATTAAAAATTCAGAATATTCCAGAGTGAAATTCCTGTTTACCTCCCTCTCTAATCTTACTTCTTTTCCTCACTCCCCATCCACTGTCCTCATCCATAGGTGCACGATTTTTGTCCAGTCTCTTCCTGCATCTCCCATTTCCCTTTCCCCCCCAAGAATAGTCAGTCCATTCCCTTTCTATGTCCCTGATTCATTATAATCACCAGTTCATTCTGTACATCAGATTATTTATTCACTTGATTCTTAGATTCACTTGTTGATAGATGCATGTTTGTTGTTCACAATTTGTATCTTTACCTTTTTCTTCTTCCTCTTCTTAAAGGATACCTTTCAGCATTTCGTATAATACTGGTTTAGTGGTGATGAACTCCTTTAGCTTTTCCTTATCTGTGAAGCTCTTTATCTGACCTTCAATTCTGAATGATAGCTTTGCTGGATAAAGTAATCTTGGTTGTAGGTTCTTGGTATTCATCACTTTGAATATTTCTTGCCATTCCCTTCTGGCCTGCAAAGTTTCTGTTGAGAAATCAGCTGACAGTCGTATGGGTATTCCCTTGTAGGTAATTGAGTCTCTTTCTCTTGCTGCTTTTAAGATTCTCTCTTTGTCTTTTGCTCTTGGCATTTTAATTATGATGTGTCTTGGTGTGGTCCTCTTTGGATTCCTTTTGTTTGGGGTTCTCTGCGCTTCTTGGACCTGTAAGTCCATTTCTTTCACCAGGTGGGGGAAGTTTTCTGCCATTATTTCTTCAAATAGGTTTTCAATATCTTGCTGTCTCTCATCTTCTGGCACCCCAATTATTCTGATGTTTGTACGCTTGAAGCTGTCCCAGAGGCTCCTTACACTATCTTCGTATTTTCGGATTCTTTTTTCATTTTGCTTTTCCGGTTGGGTGTTTTTTGCTTCTTCGCATTTCAAATCTTTGGCTTGATTCTTGTGCTCCTCTGGTCTGCTATTGGGTGTCTGTATAATATTCTTTATTTCAGTCCGTGTATGCTTAATTTCTAGTTGGTTCTTTATCATAGCATCGAGGGTCTCATTAGTTTTCGTGACTCTCTCCTCAAGTTTATTGACAGCTTCTAGCACATTTTTGCAAGCCCTCAAAATTGCGATTTTTAGCTCTATATCCTCCATTTCTGTCATGTTTTTTTGTCTCCGCATTTTTTATGCTTTCTTGGTGCACCCCCTTGTGGTCTTTGTGCGCAGTCTTGTTCTAGTTGAGCCTTGATTGTTGTAGTTAATACTAGAGGGATTTGACCACCAGGCCGACTGGCTGTGTGAATCAGCTGTGTCTGCCGCGGAAAACTTCTGTCCTCTGGGGAGGTGCTAATCTAGCCTTTGCCTGAGGCGATCCGGCAAATGGCTCTGCGCAGGGCTTGGGCGGGGCGGGCTCAACAGGGCGGGCGGAGGGAGCCGTTATGGTGCCCTCAGTCCTGTTCCCAGAGGCTCTGCTTCTCAGAACCCCCGGAACCGCTGCAAACCTCGGAGGGAAAGCTGCCTTCCAACTGATGCCAGACACTCCCGCTTCTCCCGTTTGGGTCCGAGTCCCCAGCGATTCGCCCGTATCTGGAGCTCAGAGTCTGAGACTCCCCCCTGACCGAAAACGACAACCGCGCTCTCAGCCACCAGCCCGCTTTGCGCGCGCACCTCCGCACCTGAGTATTTTCCACACTGCGCCTCCTCTGAGCCTCGGTGTGCTGTTATTTTTCCTTCTAGTTGAAGAGTCTCTCCTCAGCCAGCTTTCCTGTGGTTCTGGGTGATGTCCGTTCCGTCTTTTAGTTGTATTTTTGAAGTGGTTGTTTGCGGCAGCAGTCTCCGGTGTTTACCTATGCCGCCATCTTCTATCTAATCTTACTTCTTGAAACGCCCCCTCCCCCCCTGCCCAAATCCTAGCTATTTTATTTTGGTGTGTAATTTCAGACCTTTTTTTTAAATCCTCACCTGAGGATATTTTTCCCTTGATTTTTAGAGAGAGGAACAGAGAGAAACACATCAGTTGGTTGCCTTTGGCTGGGGAGGAGCCTGCAACCGAGGTATGTGCCCTTGAGCAGAATAGAACCTGGAACCCATCAGTCCGCAGGCCAATGCTCTATCCACTGAGCAAAACTGGCTAGGGCCAGACCTTTTTTTATACAAGTTGATCTATATGAAATTGCATGTATTCAACTATTCAAAAATTTAATTTCATATGGTTGAAGAGAATAGATACATACATGAGTAAAATTAAAATAAATCATAAATGTCATTATATCTGTCTCCTGAGATTTGCTTTTTGTCTGGGAGTCTTGGAAATCTTTTCATGTCAGTACATGTACATTATTGTTTTTAACTGCTTCATAATACTCCATAGCATGAAATTACTGTAATATTTTTACTGTAAAACTGTCAAATAAAAATATGGAATATTTTTTGAAATTCATTTTTTCCTTATTTCTGTTTATCATGTTTGAGTTTGGGTTTTGTTTGTTTCTTTGAAGCTCAAATTTTCTATTTTTTTCTTTATTGTTGGTTTCAAGGAGGAACATGAACCTTCTTTGGTCATCTTTAGGTAGATGTCTGCATTATTGTATCTTTGCTTAATTTATTTTCAAAGAAATGATGTTATATCTGGTAGCATTTGGCAACACATGTTTTATTAAAGATATTAGGAATGTAAATTAATTTTGCACTATTGTAAGCAGTCATTTTTGTGACTGTTTTGGGGTAGTCTTAATTTTACATATATTTGTGCACTTATATATTTAAATTTTAAAATAATACCACTTTTGATTATTACAGTGTCCTTTTAAACAGAAACATTAATTATTTATTTATTTTAAAATATATTTTTATTGATTTCAGGGAGTGATAGAGAGATAAAAACATCAATGATGAGAAACATTCATTGGCCTCCTCCTACATGCCCCCCACCGGGGATCCAGCCCACAACCCAGGCATGTGCCCTGGTCAGAATTGAACTGTGACCTCCTGATTCATAGGTTGACGCTCAACTACTGAACCATGCCGGCCAGGAGAGAAACATTAATTTTAAGCAGTTTCTTTCTTTCTTTTTTTTAATATATTTTTATTGATTTCAGAGAGGAAGGGAGAGGGAGAGAGAGATGAAAACATCAATGATGAGAGAGAGTCACCGATCATCTGCCTCCTGAATGGCCCCCACCGGGGATTGAGCTAGCAACCCAGGCATGTACCCTTGACCAGAATTGAACTCGGGACCCTTCAGTCCGGAGGCTTATGCCATATCCACTGAGCCAAACCAGCCGGGGTTTAAGCAGTTTCTATAAGAAAGGAAGCAGATGCTATCCCTTCTGGGACTAAGCAGTGGTATTAGGAGTTGATTTAAGTTGCATAATAAGGGAGTGATTGGATCTAAAGTACTTTTATTACTATTAATACTATTATTACTACTCTTACAACTCTGATGATAATATAGTAACAACAATATTTATTAGGTTATTTATGTGCCAACACTTGTTTCTCTATAAATTTTTGCAGTATCATAATTTGTCATTATTTATTAAAAAAATTTTTTTTGGAGAACATTTATTGGTTAAATTACATAGGTAGAAGGAATGGGCTTAGGAAACAAGTTATAGAGGTAAAGGAAGGGCCCTTGGAGCTTGGGAGTGAGGAAGCCAATGGTAATGTGCCTGGGGCTGGGAAGGGGAGGGAGAAAGGGAAAGGCACAGAAGTGCTCCTGGAAGGAGAGTGCGCTGGGTCCTCAGGCCTAAGGGTTTTAAGGGTGGAGATTTTAGGGGAGGTCCCAGGGAAGATCTTAATAGAATATTCAGTAGCTTTCCAGGTGTGTTCATTCAGGGTCGTGGTCTCCACTGATTGATTGGCCAACACCAGGGCAGGGGGTCATTATTCCATTCAGCTGGTCCTGAAGTCAGCAGTGAGCCATGGTTCATTTTGTTGCTTATCTGGACCTAGAGATGAAATACAACTGAGGCCTCGATGTTATCTCTAGGGAGGAAAGGTCAGAGGGTCCAAACCTCTTGCTCAGCTATGTGCTCTGGAAGGAAAAGTCACCCTGGGGCAAGGTCCCACTCTATTGTTGTAGGCAGCAGTACGGCACCAGGTGTCGGACCAGTGGGGTCAGACCAAACCAGGGTTCAACAACCTGGGTATTTGACTTCTGGCTAAGAAAAGAATTCAGAGCCAAGACCCAAACTTGCTAGAGAAAATTTATTTGAGCAAGCAAAGAGAAAGTACACTCAAAGAGAAATTTCGAGCTGGTGCAAATAGCTACCTATTTTGTCATTATTGATATTTTCTAATAACTAGAGGCCCGATGCATGAAATTCGTGCAAAAGTAGGCTTTCCTTCCCCCAGCTGCTGGCACCGGCTTCCCTGTGGCACCCGGGTCCTGGGCTTCCTTCATAGCCCCGGCTTCGTCCGGAAGGACGTCTGGTCTAGTTTGCATATTATGCTTTTATTATTATAGATAGTCATGAATAGGCAAACGATGTTATAAGCAAAAGGTTGGAAACAAGACTTCGATTTAATAAAAGGAAGATTTCCCATTCCATTTGAGCTTCCTTAACCCCTTTTTTTTAAAAAGTAGACTATTTTATTTTTTCCTTTTTAAAAATTTTATCTTTAATTATTAGTTTCATGTGTACAACATAGAGATTCAATATTTATCTACCTTACAAAGTAGTCACAGTAAGTCTAGTTATCGTCTATCACTGTACATGGTTATTATATAATTACTAGAGGCCCGGTGCACAGATTTGTGCACTGGTGGGATCCCTCAGCCTGGCCTGCGCCCTCTTGCAATCTGGGACCCCACCGGTGCATGATCAGGGCTGGGGAGGGACCGTGAGAGGGCTCCAAGGCGTGTCCGGCCAGTCTCATCCAGTCCCAATTGGCCAGACCCCAGCAGCAGGCTAACCTACCAGTCGGAGTGTCTGCCCCCTGGTGGTCAGTGCATGTCATAGCTACCAGTCAAATAGTCAAACGGTCACTTAGGCTTTTATATATATAGAAGATAATATTGACTCTATTCCCTGTGCTGTACATTATATCCTTCTGAATTATTTTATAACTGGAAATTTGTACTTCTTAATCCTTTTCCTCTTTTCCACTTGTCTCCCCTCTGGAAACTGTCCTTAACCCTTCTTGAAGGAAGACAAATGCACCCTCTGTGGATATCATCAATACTGCTTCAGTTGGCCGACATACTTAGCTGTGTGACTTTGGCAACCTTGATAAATGTCTTCAGCCTGTTTCCTTACAGTAGAATGGAGACAATATTTGCTTACCTTGTGAGAATGTTAGGGTGAAGTGAGAAAATGTACATAAAGTGCCTGAGGCCTTTTAGGTTTCCAAAAGTGGGCAACTTAAATCTTACCCATCTATAGCAATGATTGTCAACTGGGTAGAGAAGACATGTTCTCTGAGAGAAGCCTATCAGAATTCCTGAGTGAGGCCTTTTTCAAACCCTATGTGATTTCCCCCAAGTGGATATTTTTTTCTCTCCTTTTCTTTCCTCTCCCCTCAACTCTTGAACTATTGCTATGTCAAACAACATTTCCTGATTGGAGACTTTTATTTTGGGATAGTGTTGAAGAAAGCTTGAGAACTTTTGATGAAAGAAGTAGTTTCCAATGTTCTGTGTATTAGATCACTTGGTTTTCTTTATTTAAGCAGATTCCCAAGCTAAACTGCTGAACAGGTTCTCAAACTTAGTATGCATGCACAAGAAGTGCAAATTCCTTTGGCTTGCTGAAAATGGAAGGGAGAAGGGAGAGAGGAGAGTTGATTTTGGTGTTTAAGAATGAAGAATCCAATGGACTTTTTATATATTTTCAAGGGTTGCATTCTGCTTTACTACGTCTCCTTGCAACTAACTATCCACATTTATGCATTGTGGATGATTGGATCTGTGAAGAAGAAATCACAGGAACTGGTGCCCTGCTAAGGCGAATGCTCCTGACTAACAATGCCAAAAACCACTCTCCTGAACAACTCCAAGAAGGTACAGTAAATTGATAGTCCTTTTATTTCTTTAGTAGTATCAAGAAATGTTAGGCTCATTAAATTCTTAAAATCATGCAGAATTTTCCTGGGGATATAACATTGCTTTCGTGAGTATATTTTAAGTAATTCTCTTTGAGTGTGAGGGCTTAAAAACCTTTTTTTATATCGATTTTAGTGAGAGGAAGGGAAAGAGAGAGAGAAAGAGAAAGAGAAACGTCGATTTGTTGTTCTACTTGTTTATGCATTCATTGGTTGATTCTTGTATGTGCCTTGACTGGGAATTGAACCCCCGCAACCTTGGTGTGTTTGGACTACGCCCTAACCAACTGAGCTATCTGGCCAGGGCAGGTTTGAATTTTAACCATTTTTTTCTGACACACTTCTGTTCCCTTGTAGGTACTAAGTTATGTCACTACATAGGTCATGTGGTTTTAGGAAGATCCTGACCTGGTCAGAACAATGAACGGGCTTTGAATGGGTTGGCATTCTAGCTCAGCACTTGAGTCAACTAGAAATATGAAGTGAGCCACACTTATAATTTTAACTTTTCAATAGCTACATTAAAAAAGTTAAAAACAGGCAAAATTAATTTTAGTAATTATTTTATTTAGTGGAATATATCTAATATATTATCATTTCATCATGTAATCAACATATAAAAAACTATTAATGAGATATTTTACTGTTTTTCCATACCATGTCTTTGCAATCTGGTGTGTATTTTATACTTAGAGCACATCATATTTTGGAGCAACTACATTTCAAGTGCTCAGTAGCCAGATGTGGTTAATGATTTTTCTACTGAAGAGCACAGTTCTAGAAATTTTTTATTAACAATAATCTGCTAGGTGCTTACAACTTATAAAGGGGGCACCCAGAAGAAGGCATCAAGAAGTTTGCGTCCTTCAAATGAATACTATTGCCAAAAGCAATACTAGGGAATATTTTCATATTTCAGTCAATTTTTAAAATTCGTCTGAATCATCAAGAAAATGACATTTGTCTTTGAGTTGCTACTGTGAATTTAAAAATAATATATTTTTTGTTCTCTATGAAATAATTACAGTTAACATGAATTTTTCTTAAGGTCTTTACTCTAAATATAGCCAAAACTATGGCTAGGATTGAAAGTTTTACTTTTTTTTAAAAGCAACATTGTTTTCTTTCTTTTTTATTTATTTTTTTTAATGGCTGGTAAGATTATTAAATATATTTTTTTATTGATTTTTTACAGAGAAGAAGGGAGAGGGATAGAGAGTGAGAAACATCGATGAGAGAGAAACATCGATCAGCTGCCTCCTGCACACTCGCTACTGGCTATGTGCCCGCAACCAAGATACGTGCCCTTGACCGGTATCGAACCTGGGACCCTTGAGTCCGCAGGCTGATGCTCTATCCACTGAGCCAAACTGGTTGGGGCTAACATTGTTTTCTTGATTTGCTTGACCTATAGTCTGATCGTGCAGCAATTTTGAGCCAGTGTGACACAAGAATATTTAAAACATGCAATACCTCTTTCCCCTTAGATTATCAAATAAAAAATGACAAGAGCCAACACAACAATAGACGTCAGGTGTGAAGGAATCAAAATTATACCTATTTTTTTTGTCATATTGTCAAAAAATATATGTTTTGGTGTGCCACAGAATTTTAGTAATTAGTTTACGTGTGCCATGAGATGAAAAGGGTTGAAAAATTGCTGTGATAGAGCAATATTACTTCATCTTTGGTAAGCTGTATGGAATTTAGATTGTGACTGCTAAGTTTTCCTTTTAGCATTTTCAGCTGTCCCAGTAAGTCACACACAAGTGATGCAGATTCTAGAACACTTGACTCTACTCTCTGCCAGTGAACTCATACCATATGCAGAAGTATTAACATCCAATATGAACCAGCTGTTGAATGCAGGGGTTCCACGGCGAATTCTTCAAACAGTCAATAAACTGTGGATGGTTCTTAACACTGTGATGCCTAGAAGGTAATTTTAGTGTATTATCACATGTAATAGATAAATGTGTTGCAGTGATTATATACAATAACCTAAACTTAAATGTTAAAGAAAATTGTTGAATATTTGAAGAATGTCTGTGGGTGGAGTCAAACATTGGTGTTTTTTTAAACGATTCTCTAGGTGATTTCAGTGTGCAGTAAGTTTAAAGAACATTGGATTACTTATTTAGTCTTTAGTCAAATGGGTCTCTACTCATCCATAGATTGTATGGGCTGACTTACAATACTGGGCTGACTTAACCTGAGATTTTGATTCAGGAGGTCTGGAAATATTTATACTTTCTAAATTAAAAGATAATTTTAAATTATAAGTAAATTAAATTTCATATTAATTATAAAGAAACTAATTATAAGTAAACTCACATATAAATTAATAAATGGACATAACTTTAGAAGTTAAATAGTATATAAGGTCTGCCTATACCTTCCTGTTTTAGAATATTATTCCTTAAAGACAACTATTTTCAGCTTTTATCTTTTTATTCTGGCATTAATGTTTCTCCATATGTCACAATAATATGCTTATAATTACTATGATTTCCTGACTTTCCAATTTAGAAGTTATCTTTTGACTTCCTACTATACAAGATGAAGATTTAGTACCTGCTCTCTCCCCTGTGAGTCCCTCGTCCACCAGTACATACTTTCTCCTTTTCTCTCAACATAGTTATCTCAAAATTTTTGGTTATAGCAATCTTCAATGTGCATATTATTATGACTATATAAGTGTTATTTATAGTTCATCTGTGGAATATCCTTTGATTATAATTTACTACTTATACAACTGCCTCCTCCCCATCCCGCACACAAACCCTACTTGCCTCTATCCATTCACTCAGATTTTGCATCAATAACTTATTCATCCCTAAACTCCATTATTGAGGGGAAACTTACTTCACAGTTAGTTATAACACATCAGTAACATTTTTTTCTTGGAAACATTCCTCTCACAGCTTTTTCTCATGCTTGAATCTGGGATATGCACAGTAGCCATCTGGAATTGCTTTGTCTCGTTTCTTTGTTGGATTCCATGTTTTTCTCTTAGTCGGTTTAGTTCCTCATTTCAGTGCGTGGAACTCACACTCAAGTTGCTACCTGAGAAAAAGGTGTTTGGGAAACATTTTTTTTTGAGACTTGTCTGTCTGAGAAGATTTTTATTTTCCCCCTCACATGTGATTGATATTTAGCCTCAATGTAGAATTCTAGCTCGTTTTTCCTTTCAGAAATTTGAAGGCTTCATTCTATTGACTGAATTGGAGCGTCCCTTATTGGTGTTGAATAATGATGTTATACCAATTCCAAATCTTTTTAAAAAAATATTTTATTGATTTCAGGGAGGGAGAGAGGGAGAAAGAGATAGAAACATCACTGATGAGAGAGAATCATTGATAGGCTGCCTCCTGCACACCTCACACTGGGAATTGAGCCTGCAACCCGGGCATGTGCCCTGACCGGGAATTGAACCATGACCTCCTGGTTCATAGGTCTATCAATGCTCAACCATTGAGCCACATTGGTTGGGCTTTCCTCTTTTTTAAAAATTTGTCTTTTGACTATACTTTTTTGGATATTTCTTCAGTGTTATCATCTGATCTTTCCTTTGAATTAAAAAAATTCTGTTATATTCTTAATTTCTAAGAGCTCTGATCTGAATATTTTAGAATGCCTCCTGTTCTTGTTTTCATATGTGAAATATTCTATCCTTTGCAGTGGTCGGCAAACTCATTAGTCAACAGAGCCAAATATCAACAGTACAACGATTGAAATTTCTTTTGAGAGCCAAATTTTTTAAACTTAAACTATATAGGTAGGTACATTGTTATTAACTTAATTAGGGTACTCCTAAGGCTTAGGAAGAGCCACACTCAAGGGGCCAAAGAGCCGCATGTGGCTCGCGAGCCGCAGTTTGCCAACCACTGCTTTAAGGATATTAATTATAGGTTTAAAAAATTTATTTTCCTTCTCATCCAAACATTTTGTTTCTTGGAGTCCCATTCCTTCTGTTTGTATATTTTAATCTTTCAAAATAGAAGCGTTCTTGAAATGTCTGATCATTCTTGGCTGTCCATTCATATTTAAGAGTGGACAACCTGTGTGTGTGAGGTGGGACTAGTGGACTCCTGGGCTTCACTGTAGATCAGGTACCTTCCATATTGATATGTCATTCAATAATTCTGATGTGCAGTCAGGTTAATAACTATGTTTATAGTCTATTGATGTCTCATCTCAAAGTGGCACCTCACATTAAAATTTTATGATGATAAATATAGAACAGTGACTTAATTTGTGGGGCCAAATACAGTTTGAAAGTGCAAACTTTGGTAAGATTTTGTTTATAGGTATTATATTACTGTTTTATAGATGAGGAAACAGTTCAGACAGGCTCAATTACTTATATAGTCATAGCAAGTATGGTATTACTGAGGATTTAATTCAGATTTTTATTTTAAATGCCATGATTAGTCCATTACACTGGTGAAGAATTTTGAAACTACTTTGTGTTTAATGTTTTAACTTCATTTGTTTTAGAGACATAACAATAGATTAGATTTCTATAGTTTTTAATTTTCAAAGTTCATTCACACCAGTTTTCTATTTCTCCCCCTGAATATATTTTTTTAAGAGAAAAAGGACTAGATGGCTACATGTTTTAATCATAACATAATTGTTTTTGAACATGTGATTATTTTCTCATCAGGCTGTGGGTAATGACAGTCAATGCACTTCAACCTTCAATAAAGTTTGTTCGACAACAAAAGTATACTCAGAATGACCTGATGATAGATCCTCTCATTGTTCTAAGATGTGATCATAGGGTACACAGGTATGTGTCATTTGAATTTCATTTTTATTATAGAGTTTTACTTTCGAGAGTCAAAGAAATTCAATTTAAACTTATATCTAAGGTTCTTGTAGTAACTGGTTCTTGTAGTATAATCTGTGAGGTGGGTTTTTTTTTAAGTTGTCTATGTTGAACTATATATTCAGTTTAATATTTAATATGTGATTAATAAATCTAGCCTTAAAGAAATGTCCTTCTTGTGTCGGCAACCCTCAATAATGGCTGTTCTTTCTCTCAGAACAAGACCAATAAAGAATAATACCATTTCTGCTAGCATTGTTGAAAAGGCTTTTAAAGAAATTGATTTATTGTGAACCATTACATGCATTACAACTGTGATCTTTTTGGCATCCTCACTTGTGATGTTAGCTTCACTGAGACCGTATTTGTCTATATTTTCTTGCCAATTGCCAAACTTAATTGCTTTGAAGTGGCTTCACTTCAAGGGGCATAATTAATTAATTCACATCATTAATGTTTGAATTTCTATTTGCTAAATAATATCAAAGATATATAAGTTGAGGGGCCTGCCTTCAAAGTGATTATCACCTGCGTAAGACAAATAAATGGAAAGTTAAATAATATGGTCACAGGTAGATTAATGGTATAGTAAGTGAATGCTGTTAAAAGTTCAGGAAAGATGAGAAGGAAGTCAGACCTGAGTAGTATTTTAAAGGATAAAAATAGGATTTAGATCAGTGGTTCTCAACCTTCTGGCCCTTTAAATACAGTTCCTCATGTTGTGACCCAGCCATAAAATTATTTTCGTTGCTACTTCATAACTGTAATGTTGCTACTGTTATGAATCGTAATGTAAATATCTGATATGCAGGATGGTCTTAGGCGACCTCTGTGAAAGTTGTTTGACTGCCAAAGGGGTCACGACCCACAGGTTGAGAACCGCTGATTTAGATGAACAGACTATAATGGTGGTCGTTAGGGGGTCAGAGAAGATATTGTGGGCAAAAGAATAGTATAAACAAAAGTGTAGAAGCAAGAATAAAAAGGACTAGTGCAGAAGGGTGAGTTTTTAAGAACAATTTTAGAATTGGAATATTAGATTAGGGTCATACTATGGGGAGGGGAGCCTTGAGTAATAGGCTAATGAGGTCATTTAGGTGGTAATTTAAGAAGGGAAGCTTTGCGCTAGGTGGTTTAAAGAAATGAGTAAACACTAATTAGAATATACTCTATAGACTCATCTGCCCTCAAACCTGGGGATGATATTCTTGAAGTGACAAAACCTGCAAAAGCAGCCAAATATAATTTGGCAAGCTCAGGGTCTCATAGAAGATAGGAATCAGAAGAATAAATACTATTAGTATAAGTGACATTAAATATCGAATAAAAGGAAAACAATCTATATATATAAAAGGCTAATATGCAGTGTCCCTTCAGGAGTTTGACTGGGAGACCAGGAGTTCGATCACTCGCTATGGTGTGTGCTGACCACCAGGGGTGGCGCGGAACAAAGGAAGGCCCCGGCTGGCAGCCAGAAGGCCCCAATTGGCCCTGATCGCTGGCCAGGCCTAGGGACCCCACCCGTGCATGAATTTCGTGCACCGGGCCTCTAGTAATAATACTTCTAGAAAAGAGCCACTTCTAAAACAATTTATCAGTGTTAAAAATCTACCTAAGTAGGTAACTTTTCACCTGAAGTGCCTCCAGTTGTTCAGGAAGTTGTTAAATTATGCCATCATATGTATGTAATGTTTTTGTAGCCTGGATTTTTTACTTCACTTCTGAACCTTTTCTCATTTTAATAGATATTCTTATATTAATTGGCCACATGATATCCACATAGATATGCTTAGCTCAGTCTCTTATTATTGGATATTTTGTTTATTTCTATATTTTGTTATCAATAGTGCTGTGGTGACTGTTCTATGTACTGAGGATTTCCTCAGAATATATTCTTTTTAAAAAAAATTTTTTTGTTGTTAATCCTCACCTGAAGGTATTTTTCCCATTGCTTTTCAGAGAGACTTGGAGGGAGGGAGGGAGAGGGAGAGAGAGAAAGAGAAAGAAACATTGATATGAGAGAAACGAACATTGACTGGTTGCTTCCCCTACACACCCTGATGGGGGGTGGGGAGCAAACCGGCAACCCAGGTACATGCCCTTGACCGGGAATTGAACCCACCACACTTAGCTGGGGGGGTTGGAGGGGTGGGAAGAGAGGCAACACTCTTACCACTTAGCAACACTGGCCAGGGCAGAATAGATTCTTAAAAATGGGATTATTGGGGCAAAAGTAACACACTCATTTTTAGGACTTTTGATTCCAATTTCTGGATTTGTCATCCAGAAATGCTGAACCAGTTTACATTCCCATAACTGTGTTTGATATTACACACTTTCCTACACTGTTTTATATATTTCCCAATTTAATAGGTGAAAAATGGATTCCCATTTCAATTTATATTTTAGATTGAATATTTTAATGTATCTTCTTTATATTTTAGCCTACCTTTATATTGGATTGCTTATCTTTTTTTTTTTTTAATTTAAAGAGCTCTTTATAAAGGATATTAGCTCTTTGTATATATATATATATTGCTGTTTTTCCCCTTATTCTATGGTTTTGTCTTTTAATTTTGTTCATTTTTAAAAATTTATTTTTTAACAAGTGGTCATTCACATGTATTTTAATAAAGTCAAACAATATGAAAAGATATACACATATAAAAATTCATGATATTTAGGATTTGCTTTGCACTAACTCACTGTTGGTGATGGGAAAGTGGATGGAGGTATAGATGAAATCAGACTAGCCCTGTGTAGATAACTGTTGAAGCTAGTGATGAGTTCTTGGAGGTTCATTATAATATTTCCTCTATTTTGTATATATGGAAGTTTTCATTTTATAAAGGATATTAGCTCTTTGTGTATATATATATATATTGCTGTTTTTCCCCTTATTCTATGGTTTTGTCTTTTAATTTTGTTCATTTTTAAAAATTTATTTTTTAACAAGTGGTCATTCACATGTATTTTAATAAAGTCAAACAATATGAAAAGATATACACATATAAAAATTCATGATATTTAGGATTTGCTTTGCACTAACTCACTGTTGGTGATGGGAAAGTGGATGGAGGTATAGATGAAATCAGACTAGCCCTGTGTAGATAACTGTTGAAGCTAGTGATGAGTTCTTGGAGGTTCATTATAATATTTCCTCTATTTTGTATATATGGAAGTTTTCATAATACATGTTAATAAGTGAATAAACAAGAAGTTTCACAAGAAAAAGGTTCTTCAGTTGAAAAGTCTTGTTCTCTGTTATCTCTACCATGCTGTCATTGCTAAAGCAAAATTCCTTTGTCCTCTTTGATCAATCCCAGTTCCATCTCTAGAGGAAACTTTGATGTCAGAATGGTGTGTATGTAGCTTTACTTTCTATGTATTTACTAATTTATAAATAGAAGTATTTACTTTTTTGTTTTGGGTAATTTTAAAAAATAGTAGTAGTAGTATACTTTGGGAATTACTTTGTTCTTTTAAAAAAACTTACTGTGCTCAACATTTCCCATACTAGTATGCATGTTTCTACCTCATTTGTTTTAACTGTTACATAGTATTCCATATATAGATTACCAGGCCTGTCCTCTAGAAACATACAAAATGTCTGGAGGAGAGTTTGGAATTTTTTTTTAAAATGCATACTCCAGGTGATTCTTAATCTTCAATTTTGGGAAACATTGCTATAGTTTATTTAACCATTGACATATTTTTTTCCACTGTAAATACATGCATAGTTATTATAAAAAATGTAGACATTTCACAAAAACCATTGACATACTGGTATTTATGGACATTTAAGCTTTTCCAGTGTGCCACAGTTGTAAACAAAGCTATAATGCTGTTTATGCACACATGCTAGTTTGCTCTGTGATAGACTGAGAAATGGCATTTTAGGGTTTTCTAAGAGCTCAGTTTAAAAATTTTAGTCATTACCAATTTATCTTTTTTGTTTCCTTTTTTACATTTAATTCAGTTATTCGAGGAATGAATAACTGTACTTATTTTATAGATGAGGAAACGGAGGCTCAGTAAAAATTTTTTCCAGGTCAAGTGGATAAAGCACTCTTGGAATACAGAGTTGTCTTGCTCCAAACAAGCAAGAGTTAGGAGTAGAAAGAGTAAATATTCTGCTTCATCTTATCAATAATAGAATATTTCTCCTTCATCTTATTAATAATAGAATATTTCTCCTTGAAGACAGCTGCTTTGCATGATCAGATCAAAAAGATTTACTGGTAGTGCCATTTTCTGCAAAATAGAATGTCTTTTCTCTAGGGCATACATTATACATTATAGCTGGTAAGAGGAAATAAATACTCATAGAATCTTAAAATATAGAGAAATAAGACATATGGAACTTCTATTTTGAGAATGAATATTTCAGTGGGAAAAGTGTTACTTTTCTACTGTTTTCAGGTACTGTTCAAGTTAAACTAATTGGTCATGTTCTGGCTAATTTATACATTTATATTCTTTCTCATGTATTTTTCTCCTTTCTGTATATAGATGCCCCCCACTGATGGATATTACTCTTCACATGTTGAATGGATATCTTCTTGCATCCAAAGCTTACCTTAGTGCTCATCTGAAGGAAACAGCAGAGCAGGATAGGTCTTCCCAGAATAATACATTAGGTTTAGTTGGACAAACTGATGGCCCAGAAGTTACTAGAGAAGAATTGAAAAATGCATTACTGGCTGCTCAGGTAATAAAGTAAAATTTAGTAAAAAAAGGGCAAGTGCTGCACTATTAATATAATCAGTTAAGTAGAAGGCATATTATGCTTTCTCTGTACAAAGGTGACATATTGTGCATTCATTTTTTTACAGAATATAATATAATGGTGTTACCTTTACTTCTAAATATCAGATGGACTGTATTACTAAAATCAGAAATAATATGATACTAATTTTTTTTATCCTCGCCCAAAGATTTGGGAGGAAGGAAGGGTGAGATAGAGAGAGAGAGAATGCGAAGAGAAAGAGAAACATCGATGTGAAAAATATCGATTGGTTGCCTCCTGTTCTCACCCTGACTGGGGGTTGAACATACCTGCAACCTAGATATGTCCCCTGACTGTAAATTGAACCCACAACCTTTTTGGTGTATAGGACGATGCTCCAACCAACTAAGACACTCAGCCAGGGCTTCATGATACTAATATAACAACCATTTAAATCAGATTTACATTTTAACAAAATATAAAACTTCTGCTTCTTAAAATCAAACGGTGGCCCTAGCCGGTTTGGCTCAATGTATAGAACGTTGGCCTGCAGACTGAAGGGTCCCAGGTTCGATTCCAGTCAAGGACACGTGCCTGGGTTGCAGGCTCAATCCCCAGTAGGGGGCATACAGGAGGCAACTGATCAATGATTCTCTTTCATCATTGATGTTTCTTAATCTCTCCCTCTCCTTTCCTCACTGAAATCAATAAAAACGTATTTAAAAAAAAATTAAATGGAAAAAATTTAATGGTGGAGACAAACAGAACAAGAAATAGATAGTACATATGCAGAGTAGGGCAAAAGTAGGTTTATAGGTGTCTGTGAAACACAGTTTATTCTTGTGTTATTATTTACTAGAGGCCGAGTGCACAAATTCATGCACTGGTGGGGTCCCTCGAGGTGGCCGGCGGGGATCGGGCCCCAGCTCGCTCCTCCAGCTTTGCAGCCCCGCAGCCCTGCAGCC